CAAAGTCCCCCAGCCACAACTGTGTGAATTCCTCAGGGAGGTGCCAGTCTCATCCTAATGTTCCTCCCACACGGTTCTGGTGAGCTAAGAAAATGTTTATCTCCCTGAGCTTGGCCTTCATAATTCCATTCCATCACAGGAGCCCTGCTAGACAAGATCACAGGAATATCTAGTTCAGCTGGATCCATCAGGAAGCCCAAAGACAAGACCAGATAGCAACCAGTATTGGGGACATGCTGCCCCATATTAGTAGTAAGTAAGTGAATAAGTATTGTTGTAACCACAGGTCTTAACATAGGAATACCATAAAATACAATAAAATAGTAAAATTATAAAATAGAGTAATAGAAGAAGTATTAAATGTAAAAAGGCTACAACAAAATAAAGCCAAAGCTACAATTAAGAATGTAAGTATTTCTTTCTAAGTTTAAATGACAGCAGAACAAAAGTAGCAACTTGGTTGCTGACATCTGGAAACACATCTGCAAGAAGATAGTTCAATTTTTCAAGAGCCCTTGAGTTCATCTGCCATTAATAATTTGGCCCTGATCTCATTGTAAATGGGGCAGCGGAGGACATAATGGATAACGTCCTCCACTCATCCAACACAAGGACAGAGGCGTTGTTTGACAGGGAGCTTACAAAATCTCCCTTTGAGATATGCAGAAGGTATGGGCAGCAGGCAAAGGGACGTTAAAGCTCTTCTCAGTGAAGCACTGGTTATGTTAACCAGGTACTGGGAGAAGTTTCTGTGTTTTTTATAATGATGATACCAAGATGAAAATTTAGATGATTGCACTGCAGTGGCATCTTTATTAGCATCCCTCTCAAAAAGCCAGTCTCTAATATTTCTTCTATTCCAAGATCTAAGTTCTCCCAAAGGTGGTAAGGAATACATTTGTAGAATGGGTGACAAAAGTTTGGTCCATTGATTCCCAGCTGGGTGATGGAAAAAACAGAGTTCGGCCAGATGGGATTCTTGAAGGCTTTCTCGTTTCTTATAGTGCCCCAACAACGCAAGATGTATTCTAAGAGTGATGGAAGTAGCCCTACCCCCATCCTTAAATTGGCAAAGGGGGTGCCCTGGAGGAGGCTCAAGATCTTCCTTATGAAGGGTTGGTTTTTGGGTTTTTTTGGACTACTTCCAATTGGGCAATGACCTTCTCATCCAACCCCCAATCTCAGCTCTATACAGCAGCTGGACTATCACCTTGCCTTGGAATATTTTAAGTGCAGGGGCTACCAATTGCCCTCCTTTAGAATAAAAAAATGTCAAAATAACACCTACTGTATGCTGGGCAGTTGCCAAGACAGCAGATAAATGTGCTTTCCATAAAAGGGACTTATGAAAGGTAATGCCCAGGTATTTAAAAGAGGGACATTGCTCTATTTGTTGGGCATTAATTGTCTGTGTTTAATATTACTTTTGCCAGAAACTATCTTTGCTTTATTATAATTATTATAATTTATCTTCAGTTTTTCCCTTTTACACTAAGCAGCTAATCTGGTCAGTAATCATCTAAGGCTAATCTCAGTACAGGAAATAAGTGCCATGTCATCAGCATACATTAACATTGAAATTTTCTGTCCATTGAGTGAGGGAGAGAAAAAAACTTTGTGACTTCATGTCCATTACAATATCATTAATATAGAAGTTAAATAAGAAGGCAGCAAGTAAACAGCCCTGTTTCACTTCTCTCTCCAGTTAGATAGGGTCTGACAAGGACTCTTGTGGGCCCATTCTTACTCTAGCTGTAATGTCAGTATGTGGTTCAATAATTTGTTTAAGAAAGTGCTTATCGATATCTGTCCTAGCTAGTTTCTCCCATAGTCAAGATCTGTCAATGGAATCAAAGGCAGAGGAAAGGTCAATAAAAGCGACGTAGAGTTGTTTTGTACACCCATTAGTATATTTCTGAATAAGGACCTTCAAAGTAGCACGGTGATCTACTATGCTATGTCCTTTTCGAAACCCAGCCTGTTCTGGATGAAAGAGTTTTGTTTTTTCTTCCCAATCTTCTAATTTATTCAGAAGATGCCTGGCATACAGCTTAGAAGAAATATCTAGCAGACTAATTGGGTGATAATTGACAGGTTCCTGTCAGTCGTCCTTTATAAAGATTGGGTATATTATACTTTGTTTCCGGTGGGGAGGTACAACACATGTTTTATCTATATCTGAGAAGAGTCTAGTCAGGATGGGGACCCACCAGGAATTGTTCATCTTATATACCTTTGGAGGAATCATATCCTCTCCAGAAGCTTTTCCAAGGGCCAAGGTTGAAATCAGCTGCTTACACTCAGATTTTGAGACAGCTAGCCACTCAGATAGTATGCTTAGTTCAATAGAGATTGTTGTTGGCTCAATATATGGGCAGCTATAAATGGAGGAAAAATATTGGGTCCAACTTTGTGCTGAGATACATGCATGGGGCATAGCGCTGTGTGTGGAGGTACCATTAACCATCAATTCCCAAAAATTTTCTCATTTTTTTGAATTAAGCTGAGGCCACGTTTCCACATAGATCTCTATAATAGGATAACTTCTTAGTCTTTAACAATTCCTTATATTGGGATCAAAATTGGATCCATAACTAAATCAAGGAATCTGTCCTTTCCTCTCTAACTCTCCTCTATAGTTTTCTCAGAGCTTGTCTTTTTTTCTACAATCTTGGTCGTACCATCCCTTCCTTGTATTATTCCTTCTAGGATGACAGGTAGTGGTAAGCTGGGAGCTTAGCACACTATTAACTGAACAAAAAATATGATATACCTTGGAGTTGGATTGCAGTGCCAGATACCTTTGATTCAGCATCGGTGGGGTATTTTAAAAGCAGTGACTTTTTCGCTGAGATTAGGGCTCCATCTGCGACAATATTTAACCTGGGTGATGCCATCAAGGTTATGGTGCCTCATGGAGGGAGGGGGACTTATAAACCAAAAGAGTCAAAACCAAGGGTAGATGATCACTCTCTGTTCTATTGTGGACATCAAAGGAGCTAACCTGGGAAAGGAATGCAGGAGAAATCAAGATGTAATTGATCATACTGGCTCCAAATGAGCTTAGTAAAGTATAACACCCATTAAAACTGGAGCCATGGAAACTGTACAGCCTATACTTAAAGGCCAGATTTAATAAGGAAACCCCTTATTTGTTAAGTAATTTGTCCATGGAGGACCAGGGCAAATACCATTCATCCTCTGGACTAAACCACATCTTCCTAACATAACTGCTGATACCTTTGCCAATTCTGGTGTTAAAATCACCAGCCAGTAGGATATTTGCATTTTGTAATGTTTGTTCAGTTCTCTCCAAAAGGGTTTGCAGGGAGTACCAGACCTTGAGCCACGGATCTGGCTTCTATCCTGTTGGAAGATAGACATTCATGCAAAGAATTAACCCAAAATATTTGCTATCTATCTGGACTGCCTGGATATAATCACTATCTGACCAATGCCTTTGTTGTATAGTTCTTTTCATGTCATCTGAGACCAAAATTGATAACTCACCACTTGGCTCTTCCATACAAACCCAGTTTAGTGGCAGGGATGTTATATGAGCAAAATCCTGGCAAGAAAGGAGAAATATCCAGGCACCATGTCTCCTGCAATAAAATTATGTTAAATTCTGACAGGAACTGTACTGTTCAAAACAGGTATCCACCAATTTATTGTTCCACCCAGCAATATTCCAAGAAATGGCTTTTATGTAACCTGGAGCCTTAGGAGTGAGTCAACTGGTGGCAGTCAAACTGTTATGTTCTTGTCTGGGTGCAAGAATGGGAATCATTAGCAGGCAGCAACTTTGGACTATCGATTAGTTTTCTGTCTCTAGGCATGGCTGGATTTGCGAGCTGGAGATCTTGGTTAGGATATACTGTTGATACAGCAATTTCCTTTTGTCCTTTTTTCTGATCTAAGCCCTCAGATAGTACAGAATGAAACAAATTGTCATTATCTGAAACGGAACAAGATGGAATCAATTTGGGCTGTTTTAGAATAGAAGGGCATGTAGGTTTGCTGGGATTATTTTCCTTCTTTGACGGAGTTGTTTGATTACAGGATTCAGGGAGCTTATAATAATTTTCTGTGGAGTTGCTGTCAGATGAGAGGTCCAAAGATAGTCAATTAAAGGTTTGGCTGCTGCTTGGCTTAGCAGCAGTGTTTGTTTCAATTAATACAATCATCTCAGTATTGCTTCTTGTTCGCAGTTTGGTAAGGCTTCAAAAGAGTTCATTAATCCTGTTTCTAGAACTTGATCAGTGACCATTTTTTCTTGCATCATCTCAGTATGGTTATTTGAGCAGTGTCTTGTCAAGGATGCTACAGGTGCTAAGTTGCTGTGGTTTTAATCATCTGGCACGCTGCCCATGGCATGAGGCAGGGGAGTATCTGCTTGAGATGTTAAACCAAAGAGTGCAGTCCTTTTTTTGTCTAGGAAAATGTGCAGTGGGTATATCTGAAAAGTGGAAAGAAAAGATTTCATTCTGAACAGCCTGCAGGGGATGGTTGGATGGTTAAAAGTCAATAGAATTCGTTTATGTCCTGTTACGTTAGAAAGCCATTCAACAGCACTTAGACCAATCATATGACGTTGGCAGTGAAGAAGGGAGCTAAGTGATAGAATGATAGCTCTTCTGGTAGGCCAGTGTCCAATGTTAAATCTGCTGAGTGTAATTCTTAGAGCAACTGAATTTGTTTGAAGTGTGCAGTTGTGCTTGTTGGGTTTATCTCTTTGGTCGGAAATGAGGCTGTAAGCTCTGCCTGTATTTGGTTGTCCTTTCTACTCTTAATTTCTTCTTCTGAGCAATTTTGTTTCCTTTGGATGTCCATAAATAGATCAGAATTGATGCCAATGTTTTGAGTTACTGTTAAAGCTGCTAGCTTATCTGCATAACTTTGCACAAAAGTTTAAAAGGCTGTTTTTAAACAGTCCACCTTTGTGTTTATAGAGGTTAAATGTTTAAACATTGAAATCACAGTTTGTGCAGTTAATAAGCATAGTCTGGCAGCAAAACCTGTTGTGAATTCCTTTGGTGATTGCTTGACTTGCTCTTCCCCGTCAGAGATGTTTTAAGAACGGGGGAGGATAGTAAAGGCAGGGGTTCAATCAGATGGTTTGATTCCACATGCAAAGTAGAGGACAGCTCTAATAATTGTTGTTTTCCAATTTCTTTTTCCAAATCCCACTTCAGTAAATCATAGCTATTGGAGGTAGGGATGGAATATAGAGGATTTGCTTTATTATTATTTTTCTTCACAGTTTTTTTGCCCATCATGTAGTCATCAATTTTTGGATGTTTTGTTGGTTTGGGTAGAGTCTGAGAGCGTGGGCTTGTCCTGTTGCACTCCTTGTTCTTCCTCATTGTTTCAGTGTCGACGCATCATAACTGAAGCCTGTATGATGTTGTAAGAACTTGGTGTTCAGTTTTAGAATATCTCTTGCAGAGAATTCTAGATACATGAAATAAAGCTAGGTACAAATTAAGATGTGTAGCTAGGCTGTTTATAAAATGGATAGAACAAATAAAATATCACAAGGAGTTCAGCAGGGAAGCTGCTATTCCATTGCCATCTTAGCTCTCCCTCTATTAGTAGTCATGAAGAGTCACATCTGACCACTGCAATTGTCACTGTTTCTAGATAATAGGTAAGAAAGTACTTTCTTTTCTCAGCCCTGAATTTGATAGCTTTAATGAATTACACCAGGTTCTACTATAATATCATGAAAGAAGGAGAAAACCTTCTTTGTATTCTGTTTTTCTATATGCCTAAGTCTGGAATGCCTGAATTCCATAGATATGAGAGTCAGAGAATCTTCATAATATCCTACCAACTCCTTGGATACCTTCAAATATTTATTATAGGCATATCTGAGACTCAGGATGCAATTCAGAATTTGTTGCTTAATTAACTTCCTTAGTTAATTAAACAGAAAGGACTAGACTGTCTAGATCTAGCTTATTCTCCATTTGCTGCTAAATTGCAGCATGTCTGTTCAGGATATGTGTTGAACTGAATACATAGACATCTGTACGTACATCTGTATATATTTGTGTATGAAATACTAACTTATGTCACATCCTTGGACTTCAAAGATACCAAGTGAGCTGATTGGCGCTAGCACATTTCATAACAACACTGAACTTGCCAGTGCATGAATACTCAGCTCTGAAGTTCCTCTGGTTTTCATCCAGCCCTTTCTGAATGCTGTCCTAATGATATTTTATCAGGATACAACAAAAGAGATCATTTCAATAAAGATTTCTTTTTCCCTCTCAGGGTAAAAGGAAACAACTTTTTTACCTGGTCTTTTAAATGGTGACACATCCATCTGACATCTTCCCACATCCAGCAATGATCAAAGGCCCCCTTTAATAATGCTGTTCCTTCTTTGCCTTTTATAACCAGCTTAGTTCTTATCAGTGCTGGAAAGGTTGTTAAAACATGCATTCATAGGAGGCTCAAAGGTTTCATTCAATCACCTCGGAATTTGCTTATAATAATTTCTGCCCTGTTTGCTTTGTTTTATCTGCAACAAGGTTAATCATGCAAATTATTTCTTCTGAGTAAAGGTATAATTTTACGTTTGAACAGCTCATATTAGGAGTCACGTTCCTGGCATGGTAGGATGTTCCCTTCTCCACGACCAAGAGCTCTAGTTTGTAAAGCTGAAGCAATTGCAAAAAGTTTGCCAGCTAAACAGAAACACTTGCTAGTTGTTTATGATTTTGAGATTTCAGTGTTAAATCTTGGCATATAAGATGACATTGTAATTCTTGCAATGTATTTTAATTCATATTTATTCTATTTTAATTCATATTTATTCTTTTTACTGTAAACC